AAAAAAAAATACGGGCAGGCTTTTTGTGAGATTATTCCACATCGTCTTCCTCTGCTTACATTGCAGCCACGTCACGCTCACGAGCAGAATCACGAGACCAATGCCGAATATGGTCCTGAAGAATGTAAAAAAAAAAAGAAAAAAGAAGAGGCTTGTCATACTGTAAAGACAGCTGTTCCATTTTTATGGAGATATCTGCAGACATTTATGGAGACAAAACAAAAAAACAACAACAAACAAACAAACTGGGAAACTTCTGATTGACGTATGAAGGGTTTTAATCGGAATACTATGAAAACAATTGTATCAAAGCTGATGGAAAAAGTGTGTGAATGTCATTTTAGCAGCCTGCTGACTAAAGATCTCAGCTCTGAGGATTACAACTGTGAGGGAAACACCTGCGCTATGGAAGTAATTTTTAGCCTTTCAACTGGCACAAAATGGGCCTTTTTAGCTTAAACGTCACTAGTTAATCAGTAAAGGCACTTGATAAACACACACACACACACACACACACCAATGTCCTCTTGGCTTCCTTTTGATGTAATGCAGAAAGAACCCTGTATGTGTGTTGCGCCCTGCACTTTTACTTCTCTATGCTGTGCCACAGCAAAGACTCAAGTGAGATAATTTTGTTTAAAATACTTAAAGAAATACATAATCACGTTTTCATTGTTACTTATATAGCACAGAATTTTAAGTGTCAAACATATCACTATAAACATCAGCAGAGATCCAAACACTTCAATTATTGGATTTCACATCAGAGGCTATGCATTAGCAGACAGTAAGCGCTTTGGGGTCCTTAGGAACTAAGTAAAGCGCTATACAAACACAGGCCATTTACCATTTAGCAAATGGTTTTAAAAGACACTGCTCTTGCAGCTGGTACATAAAGGTAGCCTGCACAGATGACAGATATAAGTTGAATGGTACAGGATGAGCAACATTATTTGTTCTTCATGGTAGGAGCAATTAAACATCATCCAAAACTCTGTTCGAAGTTAAGTTTCCTCTGTATTAAGGATCCAGACCAAAGCCCAGTTCCAAAGACGCTGGAACTCTGTGTAAAATATCAACAATATTTCACTTTATTCATATTTTATTCACAGAAAACTGTTTGAAAATTGTTTAAACTGAGACGTTTTACCATTTCATGGTATATAGTGGCTAATTTTGAAATTGACAACATGTTTGGCAAGAATAAGTCCCCCCGAAAAGTTGGGATGGCACGCAAAACGCTGGAAAAGTAAGTGATACTAAACAAGTTAACTGGCAACATGACTGAGTGCACAAAAAGCAGCTTAGCTTAGCAGGAATAGAAAAGGACAGACTGTCATCAATAGGAAAAGAATACTTCGGAAGCATTTCAGAGTAATTTCTTCAATTTAGAATCATGAAACCTGTGATTATGTCATCATCTACACTATAGATGAAATCTCTGTGCGCAAGGAACGAGACCGAAAATCAAATCAATAAATTAAGCAGTGTTTGGTTATTTTTGTCATTGTGATAAATTGGGTTAAGACAACATATGATCTGATGACTAAGGTGACTACAGCAGTAGATGTGGTCTTTTCAATCATGTCACAGGATCTCTATCAGCAGGTTTGTAGACTTGTTAAACTTCTGTTTATTTGGGCT